CGGAGTTTCAAACTATCTATAAGAACGGTTTACACATTTCGTGTATGGAGTACTTCATTACTTATATTGACTCTATAGGGACGCCATTTAGCTACCAGGTCATTAAAAGAAAAATGGGCGGGAACTCTAGTAATACGATTGATTAAAACTTAATCAAGCAATATAACTTTCTTGAGAGGTCTGCCGAGATGGGGACGCTTGTGTGCCTGTAAAGTTTTGAAGACTTTTTTCAGATGATATGGATCATCCTCCTTCAATTCTTACCAGTGATCGTCTACTCCTGGACATCATTCAAGGCAGGCACACGGTTCTCTTGGGCACGTGAAGACAACCATCTATCATTCCACTTTCATTGAACTGTCAAGAATACAAAATAAATGGCCTATACGAGTTCTTTCTGTGCTTGTTGTGCCAACGTTTTGGGACCTATATGCGTTACCGTGCCCCAATTTCATCTTTCCTATTGGTGTTTAAAGAAATACCTAAATTTGCGCTTCGGGTACTTTTTATACCCCTTTTAAATTATGTTTAATTGGATTTACGCCTGCTATTGCTGCGCGTAGGAACGGGCTAGTCACCATTTTTATTTTAGGTTATTTTTCTGTCCGGGTGACGTTAGAGTTTGAGAAGGGGACGCTCATAGGTTTGCTATATCGGTCCCGGGCATGAGATAAGTTCCCCGACGTTTCGGCATGATCATCAAAACAGACCTGCATTACAGGTGCACATTAACACACATGTGAAGAAAGACACTAAATGTATAGGCTGGCATCATAATGAGGTGCGCCATCTTTACTTATCCTGTCTTCGAAATTGGCTCTCTTTGCTCAATTCTCAACAAACCACTCAGTCTAAACGATTTTAGGCATAGTATTATTCCTCTGCGATGCAAGAGCATGTGTCCCTGGGGAGAGACCTTATTAATTCAGTGGTAGCCATAGGCTGATAATGATGCTGAAAATGTACATAGGTAGGACAGTGTGCTCGGAGAGTTGACAATGCGATAGAACAGGAAGGAGCTCGCCCTTTACACCGTCCACAAGATTCGACAACATCACCAAGTAGGTCGTTTTTGGTCGTATTATCTTGTAGCGTCCGTTCACTACATACGGGTTTCGTAATCGCTGAAGCAAGCGGCTTCACTTGGCCGGCGTCTATATTGAGGTAAGTAAAGAAGTTCAAGCCAATCGGAGACAATCCTGGTTAAATGCTGGCTATACAACCAGACGAGAAAAGTCCGGCTTTATGCTTATATCCCGAGCTTAAGGCGGGAGCTGATAGGGTGTAGGGCATGCTTACATTAAATTGAAAAAAAAATTTACAAATGCATATTTCAATATACGCCTAAACAGCAATGACCATTTGCAATGTGATTTATTGTTATTTCATGAATGTCTAGCATACATAGAAATGCCTTAAATATAACTTATTTAGAACATTCATAGGTAAGTAGCCTATAGACAGCTTTCTTTTTGAAATACCGCCGTATAGGCGCGTAGCTTCAGTGCTGCAGCGGCCATGCCTGTTTGCCGCATGCTCTAAGAAAAAAAAAAGGGGGGGGGGGGGGGGCGTCGTTTAACTCTACTTGCTGCTCATGTGACTCTACACATGTGTAACTTTTTTTTAGACAGTCACGTTGACCTTATTTAAGGGAGTCGTGAGATGTATATTTCTCTTTAGAGTGTCACGTTTAGAAATGAAAGGGACGATAACAAGAGACAGAGGAAAGGCAGGGATGTTAATCCGTTTAAATACACCAGGTAAAAATTTCACAACGTTATTAATTAATAAATTGTTTCTTTTTCTTTTTATAGTTTTCTTCCCCGCACAAAAACTCTTAGTGCAGCGCAGGCGTCCTTGCATAATGCAGTAAAGATCTCTTTGCTCTCTCTCTCTCTTTTGGCTCAATATTATTTTGTTAATGCTCACGTTTTAATTGCATAAGTCCTAAATAATGTATTCGTTGGTTCAGTACGCGATGTAAAAACGGCCAATATAATGGAGGATCTAGAGTACGTACGAGGAGGCACCTCACGTTTTCTGCACAGATTGGAAACAAAAAAAAAAAAAAACATTCCCGCAGTGAGTGCCAAACAGCTACACTATGAATAGTAAAAAGAAAATTAATAAATATAAGAATAATCATAAGTTGAACTGCCTAGTTTCGTAAAAATGAAAAAACAACAATTACTATATTGTTGAATGAAAGAAGGCTTCACAACAAGGCAGTCTAGTTTGGCGGTGAAGCCGACAACGCCTTTTGCGTATAATTGCTTTTTGATTTCGTTCCGGGGGCATCACAGATTTAACATTTACACTGTCACATTCGCGCTAAGAAGTAGTTGCAGAACGTTGGATGCTGTTGTTTCGTTTGTAGTGAAGTTGACGTTTAACTTCACCGGCCAATGTAAGCGTCTTTGTTTACGCGCTTAACTTAGAGCGTCACTAATAGAAAAAACGACTGTTGTCAAATTAGTAAATTACTCGTTCACCATTCGAAAATGATCCTTCTAGCCATGATAAGGTACTTAGAAAGCGAGAAAACACACGGAAAGAAAAGGCGCATAGCGCCACCACCTTGAAATTTCCCCCGCTAAACATGGTGACGTCACAGGTTTTGACGGCATCTACTATCTATAGCTCCCACGTAGTGTTTATAGCGAAAATAAACTTCGTTGTTCTCTGAGGGGATGACAGACGTGACCTACCCTGTTCCAGAAAATTTTGTTGAGCCATTGTTGCCAGAACACGAGGTACACTTCGAAATTCGTGACATCACGTGCGGATATTTTGGCGCAAAATTTAAAAATGAATCGTCCACCTTTATTTTCTCCTCTATTAATAAACATATGGAGCAGAGATTAGCGACGTCTAAGTTTTAAGAGTGCAATTTATCAATATGTACCGACTTGTTGTTTCTCTTTCATGTCCTTTAATCCATCTTTTCAGCGGACGATTCAGTATCTCCTTCTGTATACACACATTCTGTATTGATTGAATGACTCAATAAAACCATTTCTGATTCTGATAGGCCTACACATATTGCTGTACTATGCTGTTGCCATATATGAAAGAGTCAGCTGACGTCACTAGACATATAGGTAATTGGATATCTCTAAGGATGGGCCTTATAGTGTTGTAGTAGGTGCACATGTATAGATGTGACTGGTGACTGTTTGACTTCATGCACGTTACTTTAACACGCATCACTAGCTGCGTCTTTAGTTTGAATGACTTTTCATTACGCATCTATACTGCACTGATTCTGATCATTCTTGAATTAGTTCCATTTTGTCAATGTCCACGGCTTACGGAAAATAAAAAGAAAAGAGGAATGAACAGTGATTTTCGAACTGCCATGAATATATGTTGTAATATTTGCCCAATATAAACATAACAGTACTATACAGGTCACAAGCATGGTAGGCGGTTATTAAATAGCTGGTGATGTTAGCGGGACGTGCATCATAAGTGACCACCTGGTTTAATTTGGACAACGTGTGTTTGGCAAAAGTTCTTAACTATTTAGAGTACTTGATACTCTACAATAAGAGAGCATAAAGCCGTCGCGTGACAGAATACAGCGGCGATTCCTAGTAATCGAAGACCCACTGATATAGAGTTGTGTTTAGAAAAATTGGTTAACGACTTAGAGTACTAGGTTCTAAAGAAGAGCATAAAGCCGTTCCATGGGCGGTGATTACACTTCCCGACTCGATACGAAAGGAGTTGTGTGTTTAGAAAAAGTGGTTGACGACTTAGAGCACTTAGTACTCGACTATGGGAAATCAGCTGAAAGCCATCCAGTGGACTTCATTACCTAGCGTGATAACGACGGAACACTCAGTTTTGATGCAAGACGGTATAAATGTACGTTTGCATTTTCAAAGCCGAATTTTCATTGGCACTTGTTACATACCATCTTGCGCAAGTTGCAGCGCCGTGCTAAGCAATTCAACTTTGTTTCGTGGTTCGGCAACTGTCGCTATCTTCCTCAAGCTATAGTTTACGCAAGACACTTGTTTTTTCATATATGTTTCATAACAGACGTACACGTTTTCTCGCCCGAAAAATAAACCTAAAGAGATAATCTGAAGCTGCTTGATAGTATGTACCAATTGAGATGCTGATTTCATTATTATGGATAATTTGCTGAAAGTTGATTTACCAATTACCAGTAAAATTATCATAAAATCTACAGTAAAATCTACCAAAACTTGGCCGACGCCCCGACGTATGGGAGTGATCACGTTGACACATTATATGCTGCCACCACATGAACCGCTCAAAATTGCCATGCGCCTGCCGTGTTGTCCAATGTGCGCCCACTCGTCAAAGTCCAAACAACGCAGAAAGTGGTGTCCCACACCGGCCATCGACTTGGCTACCTCCCGGCAGCAGTGGTCACTTCGCCGTCGATCCTCAGGGCACGATCCCGGGCAGGTTGCGACGGGACCTGCTGAGCCCGCGCACGAGGCCGCACACGCACACACACACACACGGGCTCCACGCTGGAACCCTCCGGAAGACACGGCGTTTATCCACGCTGCGGGAGGCAAGTGGCCAGCTGCGGAAGCGGGCGCGTTTTTGCCCCCGCAACCTTCGACGACTCCGGTCCGCCGCGGAACCCCCCGCCAGCGTCGACGCACACAGTCAACCGCCGTAGTCCCACGGGTGAGGACAAGGGAAGGAGGGTTCGCATAGACCCCCACTACAAGAGAGGGGCCCGAACCCCCCACCTTCCCGCGAGCCGCTTGGGCCCCCTTTGGAAACAGTCACCGACCCCCCACCACAACGAAGAGGCGGTTTCGCGAAGGCGGTTCCCGCGGCTGAACCGACGCGGCTTCGATTGGCCCGCGGAGTTAATGAGATGCGCCGTTCGCAGGGCGTGTCCGCGGACCCCCGTGGAGAGGGCGAGGGCTGACGTCACGCCCGCACGCAGCGCTCCATTGGTCCGAGGCGGCGATTATCTGAGCCGACAGCGTCGGCGGCCGAGCGCGACAGAGCGGGGCGACCGGAGAGTTCGGGTCGGCGAGTTCGGGCGTGAAAGCCGTTGGGCGCGGGGCCCGCCGTCTCTGGCCAAGCGTGCGACACCGCTCTTCCCACGGCCCCGGAAAATTCGCGGCCGCCGACCGGAAGAGGGGGTCCGAAGCGCGACGCCGGCTAGCCAGCCGACCATGGGCGCGCCTTGAAGGCTGCTGCGGCTCGCCTCCTGTCGACGTCGTCGTCTGCTACGCCCCCACTGTTGTACGCCAGGTGAGCAGGCGACTTCTCTTTGTGCGCGTGACTCCGATGACCCTTTCCTTTTGTGTGTCTACGGGAAAGTGTTTACCTGTTTTGTACTTTCTTCGAACTCCCGACGTTCCTTCCGGTGTCGATCGCACTTTATTGACACGCTTACACCTGTTCGCGCGTCACTAATTTTGAAATTTGAGTTCGCGTTACACGCTTCGTGTACGATCTCCCTTTGCTAAAAAAGCCCATCTCTCCTGTTGACGCCTCCGTTCTTTAGGTCGTCTCGTCATTCAGATCCCACGACGAAATTAAGCTTACATGAGAATAATACATAAACAAACACCACATCCTGCAGAAATACAGGCCACATTCCCAGTAGTATATTCTCTTCTGTCATGACCTGAAATATATCCTCAAAGACGGGCACATTTGCTGTCGGTGTGATATACATATGACATGCTGGTATAGTATATACGCTATGTGATGTCCTCCTCGGAGGCTCGACTCGCCACCCTCATCACCACAGGCACGTTCGCCCTTAATGAAAGAGAGAGAGAGAGAGGTGTTGAAAGGGTGACTCGTCACGCATCTAAATAGAGACATTCGTGTTTGACGACCCATGCATGAAGCCACCCTGCTGTAAATTCCCTCATTCCAGTAAAAGGGTGTGCGAGCTATAGATATAAGCTTCGCTCTTCCCTCCTCCTTCTCCTATCTCTCTCTCGCCCCAAAGACCGCAGTGGATGCTCGTATGAGACCGCGTTCCATTTGCTAATGGCCGGGCGCGCGGCGGACAGAAATTGTTTCCTCACGGCGCGCACTCCATCAAAAGCGGGAACCGAGCTGTCATGACTGCGACTTCCAAACGTTGCAGCTCCCTGCAGTGTGTTTGAAATGCGTAGTGTGCTTGTTAAAGACAACTTGCGTGAGGCCCACCGACTGAGATCTGTATATTTTGCTTTTACTCTTGCGGACAGCTTCATCCGTCGGTGTGAACCCTTGGTGAATTATAAAGAACGAAAAAAGAGGAGGAGAGTTGGAGAAGGGGGGGGGGGGTGGAGATGCGATAAGCGATGACGCGTTCAAAAGCTCGTTCGTTTAACGTCGCATGCATCGCTTTAAACTGTGTGCTCGTATACGTCGTATTTGCATACCGCCAAGTGCACACATAATTCCACGCGTGGCTTAAATTGAGCACCGCGGCTGCAGCTTTATATGTGGTGTGCATGCACTCGCTTGCAGCCCTTGCATGCACTCAGACTTGTATGCACGTCTTGATGAGAGCACTTTTTACGCCTGTATTTACCGCAAGGTGTCTTTGCAGTTTAACAAATTGCCTATAAATCTGAGCACCCAATTTTAGCGCATTAAACAAGAGCGTCTGTATATACGCGCATAGACGAAGTTAATGAGTGTGTTTGTGTTTTAAGTGTATATACGCTTGAGATATTCATGTCTTGACGATGAATGCGCGCCCGTGCGAGTTCCCGTAATGATATAGTTGCGTCAGCGATAGACTTGCACTAAATTGCGTACGATTTGTATCCACGGAATGAGCGCACCTTTTCTATATACAAAGCTTCGTTCTGCGTGAGTGACATGGAAACCGATAGCTTGCACGCCGGGCCTGCAATGAGAGTTACTGACGCGACGATTCGTCCCGTTTCTGTTTAAAATTATTTATTTCAACAGCGAAGCCATATATACTTGAGGCTTTTGTGTCCTGGTAACGCAGCTGGGCATCATAAACGGGTATGTGCCACAACTTCCATTAAAAAGGAGCAAGGCAACAGTTATAGCTCAACAAATGGCATTGTTGTAAACATGTCACACCTGTCACGTGGTTATAAAAAGGGGTGGCTTTACTACCACCTCAAAGCGACAAAAAGTGCTTAATAACGCAGTGATACAAACCAATTTTAAAAACTCGTAGGGTATAGCATACCGGGAATGTGCCTGGTTAATCTCCCTGGCTTCTCTCTTGTTGCGAAACATATTATTGTGGTATCACGATGAAAGGAAGGCCATGAGTTATGCTGTTTCATCAGTGCCCGTTGAGCAGAGGTTATTAGTTTTTGTTATCCCTTGTAATCTGCGGGTTGTCCTTAATATGTCCTTTATTTTCTGTAAGGGGGGGGGGGGCTGTCATAGTTATAACTCGCTTTTTGTTGTGGGTTGGTTTCGCTATATATGACTACACACTTCAGTTGACGTCTGAATCGCAAGCGTATAAATTGTATCACGTATACGGTCCCAAGTTATCTGTGTGTGCTTGTATTAAAACGGATACATGTGATGCACAAATCGAGAGAGTTCAAGAAACGACTGCTCCTCATACGTTCCCATGTCTTTCACGCCAGCATACAGCGTAGACAGATCAAGCATAAACTGCAGTATCAGTTTAACTACACTAGCAGAGATAACAATTAACACGTTTTCAATTACTCGATTGCGCGCGTAGTGTGTCATGAGAGGTATATGTATAGAGAGCCTTTCCACGCGAGGCGCAATTCTTGCATGCGTGAGTGGTTCGAGAGGACTGTATACAATAGACAGTTACCATCGGTATATGCATCCGTCCAACAGTTTCGCATTGCACGTTGATGTTCACGCCTTCGCCTCAACCATGGTACATCATTAAGTGTCGAATCGTAACGCAATATTTTATAGTAATATATACACTGTTTGACTGTCACCCATAGATAAAGCAACCAAATCAATGGCGTGTAATGTGCGCAATCGAGAGACAACACGGGAGGAATGAGTGTATAGATTGACTGACTTCCTGTCCAAATAAATAAGTAAATGAATAAAATGTGTGCGTGTGTGCGTTTGTGTGCTTCTCAAACTGCAGTTTTTCTGCAAATGTTAGAAGTGCAGAAGTTGAGCTTATTTCGATATCGTTACAAAATATACACCTGCGTGCTCTATTTCTGTTGATTACTCAATATTCTGTTAAGATTGATTTTACAAAACAACTCTCGATTTGATTTCACTCTATAGATCTCTTTTTTTTGTACAATAAGTCGAAAATGCATGGGGCAATCCTCCAGAGTGCGTATGTGGCATGGAGTGTTCACAGGCAACAAAGAAACATATGAGCGTCGAATAAATGCATGCACTATATGCCGGGCTTGGAAGAAGGCATCCGAACGGATTTCGATTATTTTCAAGCCAGTTTTGTATACAATGTCTATACATGTGCGCATGACATGTCATTGAGAAAATACACAGATTGACAAGCAGAGGTTAATTATTTGGATATACATATAGTGCGTGAGTACAGTAAAAGCAGAAACAATGTTTTTTTTTTTTTTTTCAGTTCTATCTTTTCAACCCAGCAACGCTTCATTGCTATGACGTAAAATGAAACAATATGAAAAAAGTCTAATCTATCGCTTTGTTTATAAGTGTGACATATAGAGCAGATGTATAGAAATGCTCAGAACATTTCCTTCTGGAGCAAAAAAACAAAAATAAGGGCTTTATTGCTGACGTTAGTGTCATCAGATGGCATTGGTATAGTGTCACACTGCAGGAACTTGTCCGGACGCTTGGGTCGGTGGATACTATATACGCTTGCAGGAGTGCGACTTTGACATTACTTAATTACAAGTCAGGTAGAAAACATCAAGACGCCGACGCTTTATGTCGCTGCCCGCCTCCAACTACCCATATCAGCGTTGGTGAGAACTCAACCGCCACATCTACCAAAGTTCATACGCTCGCATCAATAAGGCAACCCTTTTCGGACGACGAACCACCAACATTCATCCCCCTCTAGCGGTATAGAGTTTGTACGGCGGTGACAAGTGCAGAGCCATTGCAAAAACGAACGACACGGGACGGAAGAACTATGCCTTTACGAACGCAAAGTGGTGACGGGGAGACCAATACATCACCGTGACAGATGTCGCTGGACGTATAAGGTGTATTTTCCTTCTTCAAAAACGTAAATACACAGGCGCTTCTAACTCATTATTGCTCGATGATGTCACGAAAGCTGCCGACACAATGCGTCGCATTTATTTATTTATTCATTCATTCATTTATTTATTTATTTATTTATTATTTATTTATTTGTCTGCACTGTCATAGGCGTCGTTCAGCAATGACTGCATTACGTCTAACGCGTGGCATCACGTTTACGTTCAAACCACTGCCATCTATAATGTTTGCAATCAAGAGCGTATACAAAGAGCCTTTTATTGACTCTCATGGGTAAAGAGAGAAGAAAATTCCGGGAGGTTGACCAGGCGGTTCGCTACCCTACACTGGCGCAATAGAGAAAAAAGAACAAGAAAAGAAAGAAAAAGGAAAGAATGTCACACGCGCGCACATACACAGCGCGCTTATGGGCAGTTACAACAGAGAATATAAAGAAAACATATTTAGGTATAACGTGAACAACGTCGTGAGGTTGTGTGGGGAGGTATATGGCCTATGGAGGAACCATGCCCCAGTGTTGAGGTATATAGGGGAGATAAGAAAGTATCTCCCCCCTCCTACACTATACCGCAACGCGGCCGCAATTCACGCCACCGACTGGGGTCACACTATATGACGAAATATATGAATTTGCGGCGCGTGCCCCTATACGGCATTACGATCCCTATGTTTTTTTGTTTTTTTTTACGAGCATCGCTGAAAAGCGAAGATTAATAGCGGCGTGAAGGGGAGCGGCTTGTACGGAAACTCAACACATGCACGCGCGCATGCGTGCACAACGTAGGCAAAAAATATATATACTAAGATGCGTGAAGGGAGGAGGTGGAGGAGAGGGAGACGGGTATCTGTTGCTGCCACGTATCCGCAGCCGTTATACCTCCTGCGATTCGACGCTGTGTGATACCCCCCTCGAACGGGATCCGCTCCCGCATAACTACGAAAACTATCGGTTGCCATCGGCGCATGCGGGTGAACCCGAATAATGCGCAAGATATATAGCTCACTCACACGTGCACTGACGGTGTGTATATATACACGGGGACCTGAGATGAGAAAGGTTTGCCGAGGGGTTG